AGCAAACAATCCAAGCCAACAACAGGCACAAAGCTAGGTCCCAGTTCACATGACCTGCTTCTTCCAAGCCGCCAGAAAGTCGCAGAACTCTGTAGCTATTTCAAGAAAGAAAAAAAGACTTTTATAAACTAGAAGGACATTACTTGGCTAAGCAACCAGCTTATAGGCCATTATATCCGATATTTTCGTTCAAATAGGTGTGATAACTATTGATTCCACCGAAACGTCTTTATTCCTCTGTTAGGTAGACAGATAATGAGAATGAGAAACAATATAAACTTGGAAACACTGCCTTACATCAATGACACGCAAAATGCTTAGGTCAGTAGCTAATTTGCAACATAATAATCATTGACCTTCAGATCAGTGGTAACCGTTGACTATTTTCATAACAACCCTTACGAAGCATAGAATTGTTAGAAATGAATATTCCCTAAATGTCATAATGATCACTTACTCCCAGTATTCCTGACTTGCTGAAACGCTGGTTATGGCCGAACAATTTTGTTTAGAGATATTTACTCTTTCACCGCTCTCCACACAGTTTGGTGTGTTCCATTTATTTCCACAATGTGACCACGGTAGCGTGGATTGGAACGAGGCAAACATGTAATAAAATGCCCAGCCAAGGATCACGGTATAGTAAATGTTAACGTACTGCATAACCAGCACCCCAGCGTAGCCGATACCTAGAGTGACAGCAAATTTTGTGACAACTCATGATGATAACGCTAACTATGTTGATGACGACAAATAAATCCTCTCGTGTAAACTGCAATACAATGAAAGTTAACTAGCTTGACGCCTAAGAAGAATATTTTAAGGCCCTAAACCTGAGCAACTCCCAATTTGCCTTCGAACACATTGTGGCACACACTATAAGCCACAATTAGGTATCAAATTCCTTTTACGAGGTATAAAAAATTATCAAATTACTTTCTCAATCCCAGCAAAAGGCTTTGTACTAAGTTGGTAGCCCAGGTGCCGGGAAAAGGTGTATACTTCGTTGATCGGCCTAATCGACTTAATACTCTTTTGATCCACCGCGAGACTGCTCAATTAAAGTATTCGAAAGCCGGAAGAAAAGTGGAGAATTACCAATTTATTTTCTCCCCAACCATTTCAGGGGTCTGGGATCCTAGCTATTAGAATCTGATTGACTCATTCCGCGCGCTCCGGCGTAAAAGTTGCTTTAAATCCCGTTGTGTTTAGCTAGTTTTTCTGGGCGCTACGGCGTAAAAGTTGCATTAAATCCCGTTGTGTTTGGCTAGTTTTTCGTCTGGAGGCCTTTGCAATCACCTTAATCATTATGCTAACAAAAATGTCTCGGAGAGGTCACTCTCTTTATTTTGAATTACCTCTTTTCTCCACTATCTTCTCGTTAAAAGTTGCAAGTTGGTTTCTTTTGGTAAGTTTAAGGAAAAATAAAAGTGTTATTCACCTGCCTAGGTCGGTCCGTATTGGGAAAAATTGCGCCCTCTGTCTTGACGGCCGCGTGCGTTATCAAAAACCTCGGATACAGTTTTTCCCAATACGGACCTCCAGGCTGGTAAATAACATATGTCTAACCCTGGAAAATTGGACAGATTTTCCATGCCGTGATGGCGCCTTGACTTGTGTACTGTCCCAAACTAATTTCCAAAACCAAAGCAGGAACACCAGCCAGGATCAGACAAATCAAATAGGGAATGAGAAAACATCCTGAAAAGTTAAGAGGATGCCATAAAAAATTATAAGAAATAGAAACTCTAAAATGTCATACTTATTACCCCTAAATACACTTTATACAGGAGAGAACTAAACGTCATTGATCGTGTATTCTCCCTGATTCGTGACGGCTTGAAATCGAATTTTGGTCGGAAGAAAACACCCAAAAATTAACTAAACTAACATCGAGATCCTTCGGAACGGCTCTAAACATGAAATAATCTCCAGATCCTTCGAAGCGGTTCTCTAAAAACTCTGCTTCTGAACTGTATAACTATACAATGACTACTTAATGCGGAAAAGATTATTCGACAGAGTATCACCAGGTTGCATACGTTATGCGACAACAACAAGAATTATTACATAATTGCTTTTGTTACAAGTTCTTGAACAACCAGTGTTAAAAACAGAAGTGAAACGGTTCAACGTGATGTTACATTGTATGGGTAAAACGGCAGCATAGTAACCATTCATAGCAGCACCAGTATAGTAACTATTCAACGCGAGTTTCTAAGACAGACAAAACACACGATACTCGCGTCTGGACTTGCCTCATAAAGTTTCAGTGCAGTTCACTTTATCCGAGGGCACTTCATGAATTATATATCCCCTCTCCCCCTGGAGCTCTGGGGAGAATTGACTCAGGTCGGGCATCTCAGTTTTCCCCCTTCACCACCATCCCCATTCCTGTATAATTATTTATCCCCTCTCCCCCCTGGAGCTCTGGGGAGAGTCGACTCTGGTCGGGCATCTCAGTTTTCCCCCTTCACCACCATCCCCATTCCTGTATAAT